TTTGTAGGTTGGAGTTAGACTTATAACTTACTATTCTAAGTTGATATTAAATTATTCATTATTACCAAACTAAATAGAGTTAAACTTGAGGGAATGTATTGGGAAAAATCCAAGAAAAATTCAACTCTCACATCCCGACTATTACAAGAATCTTGCCGTTAAATATTTTAGTTACACTCTCATGTCTTACTAATTCTTCAATATATCAAACAATGTATTATTAGTTATATATTAGTTAAAAATATAAAACATGTCATAAATTTTAGATATTTAATATATGTACCCAAAAATTATTAATCTTAAATCCCACGTATTAGTAGTTTTTTCTGCGGGGTTGGAGGGGAGCGGGGGACAGAAAGTATGAAAGAGGAGAGGTTATTATACATTCATACATAATGGAGTAGCAAAGTGGAACAGTTTACTTAGAAAGTAAAAATATGTGAAAACAGCTCGAACTTCCATGAATTACATCCTTAATTCTCAATCGTAGAATCTATTCTGGTCAATCCTGTAATCATTTAGTGTGTTTATATTAGAATAGATCAAGTTTTTCCACCAAACCATTAAAGCTATTTTGGATCAAATGTCTTGTTCAGCTTTATTTTATTTTTTTTAAGTAATTTATAATTATTTATATATATACTTAAGAATTGTTTTTCTTCTGAAAAAGTTAGCCGCGACAATTGTACTTAAATATACAACATATTGGTGTTATGGAAATTTAATAATTGAGAATAAGTTGTGGGGAAAAAAAATTGATAATAAGTTTAACGATGATATGAGAACAAATTTAATAGGGGGTAATATCTTAAGTTTACGATGAAGATGTCTGTTGTCATGTTTATTCTTGTCATTATTGTGAATCCATTAATACAAGTCTCGTCTACTTTCGGATCTCCTTACCCCTACAATTGTGTGTATGTTTTGGATTAATTTGTGTTTCAATTAATTATTTTATTTGATATTTTACATTTAAAAAAAATATCAACTAAAAATATGTAAGATGTTTTAAAAAATTAACAGTTATCTAATAATTATGTTAAATTTTATTGGTAAACAAAATTAAATCCTAAACTTATAATTATATATATATATAAAAAGAATTATAATTACACCGATATAACTTTTATCAATAATTATACCACTTAATAATTTTATATTAAATATAAATTTTATAAATTCAACCGTTTAAAAATTATATCAATCTTTATATTTATATATATATATATATATAATAT